TCGTTCGTGACACTTTGTGCCTTCACTGTGCCTTGTCTGCTGGACGCTAAACCCCTAGACCCATAAATCCCCAAACCCTAAACCCCTAAACCCTAAAACCCTAAACCCCTAAACCCCTACACCCCTAAACTCCTAAACCCTAAACCCTGAACCCTAACCCCTAAACCCTAAAACCCTAAACCCGAAACCCTCAACCCGAAACCCTAAACCCTAAACACCCTGCAGGCCATGGCTTGCCACTACATGCAGATGCACCATGCCGAGACCCTCGTGGCCATGAAGGAGGCGACCTACTGCTTGAGTTTCTGAGCAGTTTAGGGTTTAGGGTTTAGGGTTTAGGGTTTAGGGCATCGGGCTGATTGCGCACCACTTTTTTTTTAATGCTGTCGTGTGTACCCAATGCCCAGCGCTTCGAGCCCTGCAGCCCCTAAACCTAAATCCTAAACCCTAAACCCTAAACCCTAAACCCTAAACCCTAGACCCTAAACCCCAAAAGCCTCCGAAGCCCGAATCCCCATCAGCCCTCAACTCCTAAACCCCTAAACCCCTCTTAAACCCCCCCCTGGCGTACAGCGAAGGTTACGGATCCGCTGTGGAGAACGTCCGGGACATGATAGATGTCCTGGTGGCTGGACCTTGCCGTTTTAGGTTTTAGAGGCTTTCGGGTTCAGTCAGGGTTTAGGGTGTAGGGTTTATGGTCGGGGTTTAGGGTTCAGTTGGGGTTTAGGGTTTAGGGTTCAGTTAGGGTTTAAGGTTCAGGGTTTAGGGTTTAGGGTGCCGGCTTCATTCAAGGCTGAAGACCCATTTGAAAGCCATGTCTACACGAGACTTGTGAAATTCGCAGGATGACCAACCCGTAAACCCTAAACCTTGGGACCAGCTTGGGGGTTTTGATTCTGACTGGAATTTGGGGGTTTCCGAAAATAGGGGACCCTAATGTAGCACCCTAAATAGTAGGATCCCTATTATAAGGACCTTAAAAGAAGGTACCCCTTATTTCGGAAACTCCCATTTAGTTTCGGTCTGGGGTTTAAGTTTTAGGGTTTAGGAGTTTAGGGTTTGGGGTTTCGATTCGAACGCAAACCGCTGCGGGTCGAAACACCCTAAAGGCCCCCACAGTTTGATCATACGATGTGGGTTTTTTCGTCGACATCGGGACGTTTGTGTGCTTGTGGGATACGACCAAGAGAAGCGCTCTCTTATACACAACTCCAAAGTCTAAGACCCCAGCAGCCTTTGAGATACCTCTGGGGCTTTTTTGTGCCCATGAGGAGTGTCCATTATAGCCTTTAGGGTTTAGGGTTTCGGTATGCCGATCCTAAACCCTAAACCAAAACCCTGAAGCCTGCTTCTTGTTCACTGTACCAAATGGCCCACAGTTTTCTATGTATCAATATGCAGAGAACATTGTCAGCTTCCTCAACAGCAACCCAGATTCGGAACAATCTTCTTGAGGAAGCACTTCCCTCAGCACAGGTGGCACGCATCACAGGTGGCGGAGACTACCAGACGAAATTGGTGTACCTTCCGCTGAACCCCGCGTTTCAGAAAACCTTGTTGGGCTATGTAGGAATTCAGTTTGTGGCAATTATCACGCGCCTGGCCTTCTTTTCCCAGTTCGAACGAGCATGATGCGCTAACAGAATGTTTCACAGAAGTCCACTTGTCAAGCAAATGGGCTCGATCTTTCCAGTGTGATACCTAGGGTTGGGAGCTTTGAATTCGCTGTTGCGAATGCCCCCCTGGTGGCAGTTTCGTCTCTAAAGACTCTGACTCTCAGCTTTGCGGACAGGCATGAAAGGGTGTGTTCAGTGCTGGGCTGGGGTGTGTGTCGCTTTGCGAGCACAGCATGGGCGTGAAGAGCCCTGAGGGTGAAGCTAGATGCGGCACCGCATGGGTTGGGATGTGAAGCACAGTGGCTTTTCGGCACCAAGTTGGCGTCTCGGTCACAGGCAAAGCCCTCAAACCACTGCTGGTTGCAGTATCGTGCAGTATCAAGCTTAGAGAACTGCTGTCAGAGCCGACGCCATGACAGACAGCGAGTTGCAGTTTCAGGCATTGTGTAAGTTGGAACCAGTTGTTACTTGGCAGAGTGGCAACTGACCGTTGTGGCCATAAAACTGCTTGCAGGCGCTGGAAGCAGTTGCAGCATGTCCGCCTGGTCCATGTGAGTGGTTCAAATGCGAGAAGACATGCCAATGCGTGGTTATTCATGAGCCCATAACACCCCGCAATACAAGTTTCAGATTGTTGAGCACTGCAGCTGGGGAATCAACATCGACAACATTCGATAGCATCTTGCGTTTCGGTACCGGGAATGAGCAGCATTGACAAGCGCAGCGCTGAGTCACGTGCATGTCATCATGTGCCTGCGTCATACAAGTGTATCTTGTGTCTTGCTTGGTGCAGAGGCTTCGGCAGAAGAAGTTACAGCGTCAAGCCCAAGGAGCTTCATCGGACTTGCAGGCAGGCCTGCATGTCCTTTTCATTATTTTCCCACGACTGGTGCAGAGTTTCCCTAAACCCTAAACCCTATTTTAGTTGCGGAGTTACCGTCCTTGGAGGCTTCACTCGGAGCTCAACCAGGTGCAGGACGTTTCGCCGATGAAGTCTTGAAGAAATGTCCCTCAGTCTGCTAGTCGCCGAATTTTCTATGGTTGCATTGCTGGTTCACATAAACCCTAAACCCTAAGCCCTAAACCTTAAACCCCAAACCCTAAGCCCTAAACCCTAAACCCTAAACCCTAAGCCCTAAACCCTAAACCCCTAAACCCTAAACCTTAAGACTGAATCCTCGGCCCTCGCCCG